ATTTACTTAGTGCTGTTTGACCATAAAATGTGTTGTTGTTTTACATATGCCTGGCTGAACAGTGTGTTTGGAGTTGTCTCTAAACAGGTGAGGGTTGCACTGTTTTTGAATTTTATTTTTGCCTTCTAAAATATCCTTTTTTATTTTCTATCACCTGAAATTTAATAAGCATTCATTCATCTTTTATCCAAGCCATTAATAAAAACTTGTATTGCACAGGCCCAAGACTATATAGTGGTTTACTCCAACTGGTGTTTATTCCACTCTGAGGAGGAACCTTTGACAGTATTCTACAAGTATTATTTTCAACTACATATATGCTTAACTGTAATGGCATTCACACACTAGCTTGCTCATCAGAATGCAAAAGCACTTTGTAAAATATTTTACTAAAATAAAATTATGTTTTATTGTAGCATTTCTGTCATTTACTAAAAAAGTTATGAATCAAACAAACCTTATTTCAGATTAAGGAATAATTAATCATTATTCCTTAATCTGGGATAAGATCAATTTGGCAAACCATTCATGTGGCCTTCTGACAATTACCAGACCAATCTTATACCACTTACAAAACAATCTATTTTGGTGTGACGACTCCCCTAGATGCTTCCCCAGATGCTAGTTTGGAGTTCTGAGCCAGTCTCAGGCACGTCAGGAAGGGATGCAGCTGAAGGCTAGAAGCCAAGAGCGGAGGGGCTGAGCACAGGGAGCAACCAGACAAGTAGCCTACTGAGCTAGAGACAGGAGAGGCACAGCTGAAGCTGGGAAGCCCAGAGACTTCGAATGGAGAGGGCACACAGCTGCAGCTGGTCAGTGGAGATGAAGAAGACCTGGCTCCTCCTCCTCCTCCTCCAGATCCAAGAGCACGTAGGGCTGAGAGGAAGCAGGCACGAAGATCATCAACCAGTCTACTTGCAAAAAGGCAGCCTCGTCCCTCTTGAGGGGCTGCTTGCACCAGGAAGCAGTTATTTAGTTCAGTAAGGTGAGTGAAACAATGCTGGGAACATGTCCATTCCTTGCTCTGTGTTCTTGCCTTGAACTTCAGATTGTGCCTCTTTAACTGTGGAATTGCTTTTGCCTTCTCAGCTTGCCTTTGCCTTGTGGCCTTGCTTTTGCCCTGTGGATTTACCTTTGCCTTAGCCTTGTGGATTCATCCTTGCCTTGTGGACTTGCCTTACCCTGTGGACTTGTTTTGCCTTGGCACATGCCTTTGCCTTGTGGACTTACTTTTGCCTACTGGACTGGACTTGCCTTTGCCTTGTGGACTAGTGCTGGCTTCTTTTGAGTAGCCTGCTGAGCTCATTGTGGGTGAGCCGGTGCTGGCATACAGAATTGCTGGGGAATACTAATTCAGGCTTGGAAGCCTTAATAAAGACTCCTAACACCATGATGAGTGTGTGTATGTCAGTGGGACAGCACATTAGGACGTGCTCTAGACTTCCCTTTTTTTTTAATGTCAGAATGATTTGTCTATATTCTCTAGATTATTTCTCCCCCCTTCCCATTTTAAGATAGAGTATTTGTTTTCCTAGCAGCTAGCACCTCGTCCATTGTCCAGAATTTCTTAAGAATACTGTAAGGTTTGGCCATCAGAAGATATTCCTTCAATGCCCCGAGTGCAGTTCATTTGGTCTTGAGAAGTTATAGATATTTCCTATCATTCATAAGCTCAGTCCTATCTTTTTCATTCTCTGAATTTATTAAAATCCACTTTTTAAAATCCAAGATGTATTTGAATAGGCTCATCATTTTATTACTATGTGTCTTACTTATCAATTTGTATCAAGTTAAGGATGCCTGATCCTTTTCTGCCTTCTTTCACTATCTGAAATAAATCTAAATGCTATCACAGCATCCCACTATTGTCTCTCAGAACTGCTACAAATGTCATTACTTTTTACACAGAAAATTATTTTAATATTGCTCCATAATGGAATTCTTTTCTCAAAAGTGCTTGCAGTCTTGGCTGATGGTGGAAACAGCAACCCAACTTATATGGAAGACACCAAATGGGGAAGAGACTATACTAGAGAATGTGTAACTTCTGAAGGGAGGGTTTAGTGAGGCTTTTATCAGAAAAGAGTATATTTTATATTTTATTATTCACTGGCTCTTTAAATGGAAAAAAATAAGTGTCTCAAGTTTGCAGGAAAACAATTATTTCTTGTAATAGAATGTTTAGACTTACTCTTTAGGAATGAAATTAGTCTTTAGTAATAATTTTCAAACTGACAGCTTGCTAGCTCCCTTGCTAGTTAATCTGAGTTTGGCAGATAGCTAGATATATCAGGAAACAATTTTAGGTATATCAGAGAACAGCATGAGTCAATAAGAACGTCATATTCCTCAGAGTTGAAAATATATATATTTTTATGAAGATGTTTCTGCTATATAACACAAACATTACTTTAGGACTTTCCACATAAAGAATCTCTCACTCCATCCAGTGGACTCTTCTTTCAGATAAAACAGTCATTAGATCAGTGCTTCCCATGCTTTTTCCTTCATTACCCAAAACTGCTTATCAGAAAGTCTAATCAAACTTTAAGGACTGGTCACAAATCCCTGCATTCAAAGTATTCACTGAATGAATGAATGCTCTCAACTCAGGGACTACTTATATTATAAAAACAGTATCACTTAATGATCTTTACCATTGGTAATTTGATTGACTGTCTTAATAGGAATACTTTGGAAGATTTTCATATATATTTTAGGCAATATTTAACTCAATTTAAATGTTCTTGTGTTGGGCAATAGGTTCATAAGTCATTACCCAAAGAAAAACTTTTACGAAGTTTGGGTAATTTACCTAGGTTTGGGAGGCACGGATTTAGAAACTCTGAAGTTTGTTGATTTTTCTTGGTAAATTTATATATAGCTTTATTTATGGCCAAAAGATCCAAATGGCAAAATACAAGCATAATCTAAAATTTGGTATTAAATAAAACAGTTTAACAAATAAAATAATTGATAAATATTACATCAAACAAATTCAGTCTTATTGATATGTTACTAAAGACCTTGTTTTTATGGCCATAGTTAAAAAGTTGGCTGCTGCTGCTCTAATTTTAAGATTTTTCTAGGTGAAATGTTAATATCTTCAAACATATCCTTTACTGGTCTCGATTTTAAAATACACCAGATAAATATACTGCCAAAAACTCTTTCAAAAACCAATATAACAGGCAATACTATTACATGACAAAATCTTTGACAAATCTTTTGGAATCTTTTGACATCTACATAGCATATTTGATGGCAACACATTTAATCTAGCTTTTGAAAAGACCATTTTGTACTTATTTAAATGTAAATTATTAAGCTACATTGGGAGCTGAAAGTGTATTTGTAATTCATTCCAAAAATCACAGATGAACACAGACCTTTGGCTTTTGCCATTAACTCATTCTAAGTTATTCCATGACCTTTATTACAGTAAAATGCTGCTGAAATTTCTACTCCACTGTTCAGAATAAAATAATGGAATAAAATGCAACAGAATAGCCAAACAAGTACTTGCTTCACTGCATTGTTACATATTTATGCACAACTTCCCTATCACTCAATTATTTTTTCATTCCATCCAGGTGGAATAATAAAAGTGTTTTCTAAATTATATACCAAGATTTTGTAAAACAGAGTTTTGACAATAATTGTTCAACAACTGTTACTCCGGAGTTGGAGTTTAGTCTAGAAAAAAATTAAATATTAGAGGCAATCAGTTTTGATTATCACATTATATTCAATTAATCCAGAGAGTAATAGTAGCATGACTCAAGCCAGGTAAATAGTTTGGACTAAAATTTCCTTGCCATTAGTCATGTTGATAGAAGACCAACACATCTTTAAGATGCATTAAGTTGCTTAGTTTCTAGTTTCACTAAAGAGTGTTTCTTTTGCGGATTTCCTTATAGTAAGAAGGAACTCAGCAGTATAATAATTGGTATAATTATAGATAAAGCATAGATTAAGCATGGACAGTCTATGGCCACCTCAAATGTTATCAAGTTGCAACTTGCACCATTCCTCAACATTTTGACAGGCTTACAAGGACTAATCTAAATTTGAGTTCAACAACATCTAGATGGTCACATGTTACTTGACACCACTATGAACTGCTGCAATGAGAATTGAAATATTTTGAAAATATGTTAACTTATTATATTTTGTTTGTTAAAGAATACTCCATACTCCTTTGATCTACTATTGAAAAATTGTGATGTATTTTTAGATTTTAAAACAGTCTGATTGAACATGGAAACATTTTAACATTTTTTTGGTCCTATCTTGATCAGATGTATTCTGTAAGCATCCAGTACCTTACCAACTCAATGACTTGAGAAGTAGAACTTGCTGACTTTGTAATGTAATGCTTGGATTAATAACTCTGCAAGAAGCTGCTACCATGGTATTCTCTAAATGGTATGGATGACAACTCCCCAGAGTCCTTCCTTGCTGGCCAAAATGACAGTAGTTTATATCTTTTTTTTTATATATAAAATTTTTATTAATTTTTGTAATTGAACAGCAAATACCAATATGATGCATTTACATACACGAGTAAAAAAGATAATCCTACTCAATACTACAACTACAATCCTACAACAAAAAGAATCTATGCCTCAAACATACTCGTTTACTTCAGAGCCAGTGGGAGGGGCTAGATCCAAAAGATCTGTCATGGCAGACATGCAAGGAATGCTCCAGAAGCTCCAAAAGCCGAAAGATGGCTAAGTTAATGACTTTAAATGTTAATGGATTGAACTCACCACAAAAAAGGAAGAAAATATTTCATTATTTGAAACAATACAAAAATGATATTATATGTTTGCAAGAAACGCACATTGCATCAAAAGATCAAAAATATCTGGTTAACTCTAAATTGGGTCTACATTTTATTGCCCCTGCACCAAAGAAAAAAGCAGGTATAGTTTTTTATGTTAAGAAAGAATTACTGCCAAAGTTAATAGATTTTGATAAAGAAGGAAGATTTGTGCTTATTGAACTTTTATTGAATGACAGTGGTTTATATCTGAATACCTGAAAGATAGTAGGTTACCTACACCTGAAGCAAGCTGTTTGTAGGCAACCATCTGGAGCATTATTTCATATGCCTATTAATATCTACCCAGCCCAGTTCAACTTGCAGAACCAATCTGAAAGGAATATTTTTGCCCCTAGTCAAATTATCTTACATATACTAGAAGAGATAGACAGAAGAAACATGAATACATACTTCTTAATTAATGCCAAACAAGTACTTGCTTCAGCGCATTGTTACATACAGTAATTTTAGAGAAAGAATGCACCTTACGCACAACTTCTCCATCACTCATTAATTAATTTTTCATTCCATCCACTTATTACTATACCTTTCACCATAACCCTGACTTTGATTTTTCCTGGTGTAATATTCATATCTGGAGGGTTTTTAACATCACAGATATAGGTTCCATTGTCCTGAAATTGCATGTTTGCTATAGTGATTGATGCATCTTTTCTGTTAAGGTCTCCAGCCCATCTGCTTCTGTCACCAAATTGTGTACTCTTCGCACGATATGCTTTTCCATTGGAATAATAGAACAACTATAATCAAAAACACAAAAAATATGCTGTATTAAAAAACCTGCTTTCCCCTATTTCTTAACTAATCTAAATTTCTTTAAAACTCAACTCATATAACACATGAATTTCAATCCAGTGCAAGAGTGACAAGGATAATACTCTACTTGAGAGCCTGTAAAGCTGGTTTTAAACCAGTTGAAAGGTCAGAGAAATATTTTACACATAATATCACAAGAATTTTAAAGGTAATTCCAGGAGCTCAGTTATCTTGCTCTGCCTCACTTTCCTCAATTCTGTTTTTTTCCCCAAACTACTGAACTGATAACTATTACTATTACATGATTTCCTTCTGGTATTAATTTTTTATTTTCCCATCATATTAAGATAAAAGATAACTAACCAAGCAGGTGAAGTGGATTAAAACATTTCCTCATCTAAGCAAGGCTTTTGGTAGCAACCAATTTTGGAGCAAAATACAATTAATATCTCAACTAACATTTCAAGGGAACAATCAGGCTTTTAATAGTACAAGGAGCAAGCAAGAACAGGCAGGGCTTTTTACTCCTTACAATTTTCTTTTGCAAACAATATCTTACCGAGACAAGAGATGATGATCCCTCGCCTTGGAAACTCCAGGTGACAGAAGTTGAACTGCTGATCACTTCTGTGGAAGCAAAAGTGCATGGAAGCTTTGCTTCAGTCCCATTCTCCACAACAAAGTCTTGCGGTGTGTATACCTCCGCAGCTGAAACCTGGACTATCAAGAACATCATTACAAGAATCAGAATCCTTCATAAATATTAACACTATATCAAACATAGGTATGAAGAGTTTAATCAGGCAAACATAGATTGAAGAATCTATTAAATCAAAGAGATTGAGTAAAAAAAGTCAGTTTCCGTTCACTTTATCGTATTAAGCCATCATGTTGCTGGTTAGTTTCTGATTTTGTATAAAGTATGAATGCAATATTACAATTTACTGTCATATGCAGACCAGGCTTTTTTAGATTCTCAAGAGAGAAAATCAATACAACACATTATTTCAGAATTTTTCATCTTTATTATACAGACATCTAATTTTTCCCCCAGCAAGCCTAATTTACAGACAGAATACAATATTTCATTACTCCCTCTTCTGCTATCCATTTGATATAAGAGTAACCACTTGCAATTGTAAATTGCAGAGTGACAAAATGTTTTTCTCTCTACTTAATATTATATAGCTAAGTGCTTTCTAAATAAGTGTGCATGCATTTAACGAAGGTGAGATACGGTACTATATAGGTGCACTATTCTATCCCCTGCCTACTTCTTGATTTAGAATTAATAAAGGACTTAAGATACTGATGACTTATTTTCCCACTGTTCAATATGTTAGCAACTGGTTATTCTCTGTCTGGTAAAATATTGGACTTCTATTATTTTTGATCACTGTTCACTGTTGCTGATTTTGAAAGTGTAAACAACTGCACATAAATAGAAAATATGTACTCAAGGACAGAGAAGGACGCTGTATTTAACTTTGCACCATGTAATGGTTCTTTTGATTTAGGAAAATATCTAATTTGACTGGGGGGTACTTAATCTTTTGCATGAACTGTAAATATGTCTTTCAATCTATACTTTAGTGATATGATGATTATAATATCATGGAATATTAAGTTACAGGTAATCCTCGGTTAACTACTTGTCCAATGACTCTTTGAAGATGCAATGACACTGAACAAATGGTACTTACATCCAGGCCTCAAAATTATATCTGAATACCTGATGATAGTAGGTTACCTACACCTGTTTGTAGGCAACCATCTGGAGCATTATTTCATTTACCTATTAATATCTGCCCAGCCCAGTTCAACTTGTAGAACCAATCTGAAAGGAAGGGGCGTTGGTCTTACCTGAACGCCTTTTCTCAGTACGGAGACGGAGACTCCACCAATGGGTTTCCTTAGTCTGCCTGCTCTTGAGACCAAGTATCCAAAACTTGTCACGCCCCCTCCTACCGGTAATCCAGTCTTAACGAGGGCGAAGCGTTTGAAGATTGACGAGGCATTGGCTCTCAGCGCCCTAACACAAAT